AGAGAGCGCCCACTAGATGACCAGGGAGAAAATGGTGGATCAGGCCAGGTTAGGCTTGGCATTAAAGGAGCAGCGGAAGGAGGCGGGGGGGGCAGGGATCAAACCAGGAGAGGTCATTGAAGACGGGACGGCTACTGGCGCCGGAGGAGAAGGCAGCAGCAGTGAAAATGCCACGTCGAAAGGGTTCTGGAGGGGGGGGGGGGGGGGGGGTACTCTGATAGTCGTGCATGCCGTAGTCGTTAGACCATTGACCACGCATCCCCACAAAGCCGGGACGGAGCACGCCGGTTTCTCACCAGGCTCTAACATCACCAAGTGCGAAGCGCTTGAGGTATTCGGCGAGTCGCATAAAAGGTGCGCTACATTCTAATAAGCTAATGCTAGTAAGGTTGTTCGGATTCTTGGGCTTACTTGCTTGCGACGGATGACAGGCTGATGACTTAATTTTTTTCTGTTGCTTTTGCTTCCAGAGACAGTTACAAGCACTGCTGTGTAACTGCCTCGAGGGTGCTTGACCAGTTTTACACAACGTGGTGCGATCATCCATTTGCGCGGAGTGAGGGTTCTCGACCCCGCACAACATAACCTACTCGACCACAATTATGGATATATAAAAAAAAAATGCCTAAAAGAGCGGTAACCTGTTTGCCGAGCTCACGAAGTGATCGGCTTGTTTTACAACGTCATTGCGTCATTGCCAAGTGACGAAAACCCAACCTCAATGGCAAGCACCGCGGGGGGAAGGCGGCCGTCGGGGGGGCATCGAAACGCGTCGTCATCGTACGGCTACACCGCTGGGCTAATTTATAGTGGGCGCGCGGCGCAGCATGCATGGTACCTTTCTGCAGCATCAACTTAGACCTCTCATCATAGCGTCAGGCATCCAACCGTCCGTGCCGTTTGAAGGGGAACTGCAACATGCCGCCCTTGGGGCTGTTCGCAGTCCCCACGGCGGAGAAAAGACCCGATCGAGTGCCCAGGGCATGTTTGGTCGCCTCGAAGGCAATTCCCCAGGCTGCAGAAGAGGTGCGTGATGCCCACGAGCGTAACAAGAGGTATGATGACTAACCGACCCCGTAACACTCCGTGTTGCATTCGCTCACCTACAGGTTTAGCGGCAGCGGTCGCGGTTGTACCGGCAGCCTTCCTGAAAACTGTTAACGGTAGCATTCGTCATCCGACAAGCAATGCGGTACGGTGGCAAGGGCAAGAGTAAATATCCAAGGCTCCTCTAGGGAACGATTTCTCAATTCGGTAACAATTGGTACGGGAATCAGCGAACACGGTATTTGGGTGGTAACTGGCCATCATGGTAACGTTTGGGTGGTAACTGGCCACCACGGTAATGCACGGTAGTAATTGGGTCGTAACCGCCCAGCACGGTAACTCCCGTACGGGAACTAGCCACCACGGGAATGCACGGTAATATTTGGGTGGTAACTCGGCACCACGGTAATGCCGCGGTAACGGGCCACCACGGTAATCCACCACGGTAATGCACGGTAACGTAGGATGGACACTCCACAAAGCGATGCACTGCAACAGCTGTGTTGCGCTTTTTTTTCAGTGCGCGTGACACCGAAACAGCGCCTTCCACAAAGAACACGAAACACACTAATGGAACCTATCGCATTTCGTTCTTCAATTGTTTTGAGACTACAGGCGAAAATCTCGAGGTCAAGTTACCGAAAGACGAGGCAAAAGACAAAGGATAAAACGAACGAACTACATCAGTTCGTCAAGAGCGACACCTCGAAATATCCATCACTTGATCACTAACTAACCATATCTCAACTACGTGAGGATTGAACGCACCAAACTTATCTGCCAGACGATGCATAAACCACCAGCTACCACGTACATACATATCGAGCTCAACGACACAAGCATGGTGTACCGTATCTGCGTCACACCGCAGGCAAGCAGTTCAAACACAACAAACAAACAAAAATATATGCATACCACACTACGGCAATACAATACTCAAAACCAATATTCGAAGACTCAAGACACAAAAAAGACAAGGTTCTCCTTTCGTTTGATGGATCGATAGAAGCGAGATAAAAAAAGAAAATAAAAAAAGAATAGGCGACGATTTTTTTTTTTCGTCTTCACTTCAAATCAGCGCTCACAGCACTAGTGCCGTTTACTCCAACCCGTGGTCACACAGAAGAGCCCCTCTCTCTACCCTCCCCTCCTGCGGTACGTTGCCTTCGACTTTTAATGCGAGAAGAGTTCAGCACTCTCCTCCCTCTGTGTACACACGAACTAGCGCTATCCACTAGGCCAGGAGCGGAAGCGAGAGAAAAACTCACTTTACAAGAAAAGTTCGCTTACGCCGTGATCCGAACCCCTGACCTGACCTCTAGAAGGTGTCGAGGTTACCAACTAGACCACCGGGGCGACCGGAGCCGATGTGGAGCATCGAACCGGCCGTGTACATTGCTTCAAGGCTGCTTACAGCCCTCTCAGCTATGTTTACGGTAAAACATGTTTTGTTCCCGTACGGTACCGGGAAATCTACATCTCCCCGGTAAATGCTTGGATGGTAACCAAAAGCCACGGGATTTAGACATTTTGCACGGTAATTAGATGGGTGGGAACAACGGGATTTCACGTCCTTGGTACCGATTTGGATGGGAATAGGAGAAGGCCATTTGCTCGGTAATGATATGAATGGGTACGGTAACCGGGAATTATCACGGTAACGTTACAAATTACCGTTCCCGAGGAAATCCCGCGGGAAAGTACCGCGGGGAAATTCCCGAGAGGAGCCTTGTAAATATCACTCTAGAGCTCGTGCTGGTTGCCATACACCACGTTAAATCGTCCAAAGGTCAAAGTCCGGAGCTCCATCTTGTAAGTTCTGAACAGCAACAACGCCGTCCCGCTAATCATACCTCAGCCAGGGTGAGCATTCCCAAAACGCTAGTAGGTGAGCTGTTCAACATATTCCCCAGAGTCAATACTCACCCCGCCCATCACGCGTTGCCATGAAGAGCTCGCCACTGCGATAGGTGTACATTCCGGCCCTCTTGTGGCCCTGGCAAAAGCTTTGGGGACCATTGCGAGGCCCGTACCGAGGGGTCCCGTCGCACCCAGCATACTGCAGCGCACCCGATTAGAGGGAAAATGGGCCACGCAGCACGGGGTGTTTTCCTCCGTCGGTCAAACTCAGTCTGTCGTACGACATGGTAAAAGTAGCGATGGATCTCGCCTCTGCCACATCAGGGCACGGCAAGAGCCGATACAAAGCGCGCTGTTCGCTCGGATCCCTCCGTGACATTGCAGAGGATCAAGATACGCATGAGTTCCATTTAATCAGCCTATCCCAAGTCATGAATACTGGAAAGATTGCTATCACCAAGACAGTAATCGCTCTCAAGGAGATGGTGACCAGCAAACCTCGCAGCGCTGGGCTCTCGTCATTGTGGTGACGGACTGCGCCGGCCCCTTGTCCTCCACGCACACGCGGTGGATCAAGCCATCCTGAGACGTTTGGTTGTCTTCGGCCATGCTTGTGCACCTGCGCAGTTGGAACGAACAGCCAATTGGTCCTTGGATTTGAAACGGGGAGCTCGCCTTTGGCGGTGACATTTAGGGTCAGGCTTTCCTTCATCCATGGCTCACCTTTGAAACCCGCCAGAAAGTTGTTCGTGTTGGGCAAGGGCGGTGGTCTCTCCTTTATGTGCTCGCCGCTGGGTGAGGTTTGCTTCTGACGGTCGAGGGACGGGGGTGATGGTTCTGCGTTGGTGGTAGACATCAGAGAGAAACCACACCAGTTAGCGACGACGGTCGAGAGCATACGGTGCTTGCAGTTGCCATCGGTGCACCGCGGGGGCTCGCGGTTAACGCCATGTACGGAGAACCGCTTCCCGCAAAACGCACACGGTTCTCAGCCCAGACACAGATTCTCCTTGTTCCATTCCGGGAGTGATGCTGTGGCCGAGTGGGGCAAGACTGACTGTCCTCGATTATGATTGTTCTCGTAGGGTGATGGAGAGGGAGACATGAAAGCGTTAAATTTTGATGGCGCTAATGCTGTTGCAGTGGGACAAAACTCCGGGCTCTAGCCCAACTCCATGGTCTGAGGGGATCAAACTATTTCTACAACCACGACAATCCACTTTTCTTCCCCGAGAGGTACGACGGTTTCGGCAAAGGTGAGGTTGGTGTGTTTTTGTGGAAATGTTTAGAGTTGATGGAGGCTGGAGGTATTGCATCGAAACCCGATACTACCAGTGGCAGCAAGTGCAGTATGATCGGGTAGCGCCACTTACCAAAGACGACAAAAATATGTCATGCAACACCACACCCTTCGATTCGAAAGCGACGGTACACGGGTTGAAGTAGCCAAGCAGCTGAAGCCCTGGTGGAAGCGTGCACCAACCTTTGGGCTCTTGGAGTGGATTACTTGAGGCGATCAGAGCCAAGGTGAAACGGTCCACTTGACGAAGTGGGATCTCGATCCCTCACCGGAGAGAGGTTGGAGCCGATTTTAACGCTACTGAGCAGCAGGCAGATCGAATATCAAGGAAACCATACCAGAGATGCAAGGAGGGGTGGGTGGGATGGGAGGTTGGAAGGGTGGTGGCGTGGGGAGGATGCTCGAAAGTGCCTTCAGCTGCTGGAGCATGAAACGGGTGGGATATCTTTGGATGGTTGTTCGAGGCGTTAAGGCATGGTCTGCGCTGCATCTAGCAAAGATAGAGAACGACTTCCTTGCGAAGGCGACAGAGAGTTTCAGCTACAAAGAGAAAGGCGAAGGAGAGGTGGTGTCTTATTTTCGAAAGAATTATCATCCAGCATAGTACCACGACGTTGAGGACTGAGGGGGGGGTTGTTGACGTACAAAGCAAGACAACCCGATTTGTCCTGTACGCTTAGGTACCTGGAGCCAACGATACAGCCATGAGTCAAGGAAGCTTGGTAGTCGATTAGACTATGCCTACAAGGACGGTACAGACACACTGTTCAAAGGCGTTTCGGCTCTGCTATTTGGCCATGCCGGTCGCCATTACTGCGCCCACAACAGCACCGGTAGTCGCATGTGTACCACCACGAACGAAAATACACGCTACCTAACGCTTCCACAGGTTTGGATTCAACATGCCGCCAACCCCAACCTCGAGAGGAGAAAACCTGCATGCTGCGCATATACGTACACTTCTCCTTGGCTGTGCTGTAGTACTGTATGCATAGACTACTGTAGATCATCCGGCATTGTGTTGCCATCACAGGCACGTGGGCGTGCCTTGTTCCACGAGACAACCCCATCGATGTCAATCAACAACGCTGCGCTAGAGACGCTGCGCTGTTACATACAGTCTCGATCACCCGATACTCTCGTTATGGTGCCGTGTTTTGTCCTACCACTCCCAAGACACAGCCCCTCCAGCGAGAGCGTGAGCGAGGACCAGCAGGGAACGATCAACCGCTACACCACAACGAACGTCACCCTCAGCACAGAGAACACGACGGAAGCGAAACATGTACTAGTACACTGCTGTGCGCCCCCGAGGCGTACGTGAGACACACATCCTCCAAGCCCCTTCTGTAATGTTGGGTTCGAGTGTTCTCCGCGCACGCATAGGTGAGGGCCAAGCCGGGCGCTCAGAGCTGCGCGTGATTTGTCTGAGCTCTACACGTACTCTGTACAAGCACATGTCGAGATCGTAGCGACTCTCCGCTTGTAAGGCTACGTACACGATCCTGCACCACCGTTACTATGGTACGAACTTGACAGATTGTGCACCCACCGTGGCGGTTCCACTTACTGCTGTGAGGCCTCTCTAACATAGGCCAAGTGACCCCTCTTGCCCGTTGGTTATGTCATCATGGGAAACATCAACCCCGGTGGGCCGGCGGAGGTGACGTGATTGTCTCAAGAAAACGTTCAATTCTCTTTCCGTACCAGCACCAAAACAAGAATCTTACATCATTTCCCTCTCGCCTCTTACTCTCCACGAACGACGAAATATTACATGTAAATCTAGTATCTACTACTGTAGGCAGTGTATATATTGAGGCACACTCAAAACGATGATGACACCAAATGACCTGCTGTTTGAGTTGCACACTCAACACGCCTGCCGCTTCCGCGAGATGATTGGGTCGGTGAGAGACGCGATGGGCGAAGACGATCCAGGGCGTGCCTTGGGCCAGATTCCCTGCCTTCTTCGTAGTCGCTTGGGCAGAAACTGTTGATATCCGACGTCTCGGAGAGGAGTTTGGGTGATGGGGGCGCTGGTACATTGAAAAGGGCGGCGGTGTGGGAGCCCGCGTGAGTGAATTTTCCCAAAAAAAAAAAAATTGAAGAGGGAGGAGACGCGGCGTGTTTGGTGCCGGTTCGGCTCTACTGCTGTACAGCAGCAGTTAGAACAGCAGCAGCATGTAGCCATTTCGCATGCGCTCCCGCTCCACCCGCTCCCCTTCTTCTCCGAAAACAGACAGGGCGTCGTTTCCGTGGGAATGGGGCTGGGTTGTCCCGGATTTTCAGTAACGTACCTATCAAAGGGCTCTTTCTTTGGGTGCCGCCAAGCGCTTGCTGAGGGAAACCTGCCGCGACACGCGCGGTTCGCTGGTTGGTTACAATCAACCGCGGTTTTTGTTTCCGTTTCTCGCCGGCAAAGATGCGGCAGATCTCAGCCTCCACGCTACAATTGTAGAGAGTTATATTTTCCCGAACGCAACACCAGTCTGAATAAGGCGAGGCGGTAGGTAGATTATCACTGGTATATGCTGCGCACAGTCCGGAGTACCTGCGAGTGATCACAGTCGGTGAAAGAGGTACTGGCTGCTGTATGTATTATACTGTTGTTGTAGGGTACAGCATTAGTCTACATGAACCTGAGAGGAACCCCACGAAAGACAAACGGAACATTAGTTTGCTACGCGCAGCCAACCCGTTTGAAAGTTGTAATGATAAGCGTGCATGAAACATACAACCAGGGTGGGTGCAATAAGTCTGATCCGAATTCATCGTGTCAAACACAAGGGATATTAACATCATGCCGGAGCCCATACCGTCTGCACCACCACCACAGAAGGTAAACATATGCATATCTACATATCGAGATACAGGTAGGTCTGTTATGGCAGCATCACGCTGAGCCAAGATTTGGATTGGGAGTAAATCACCCGAAGAAGTTCGCGCAGTGCCATGGAGTGCGTGTCGTCCCTTGGGGAATTCTGTCCAACACCGCGATAGATGCTCGCCATGCGTGCGGGGCGTGCGTGTGATGAATCAGGTGCCTTCTACAGACAGACAGACAGACAGACAGACAGGCCGGGTATGCAGCTTAGCTGCATCAATGCGAATGTAGGAACAAAGTTTTGACTACACTCAGACGGCAGTTGGAGCTTGGACAAATCTCACGGGGGCGGCCGGAATGTTCCCCCCAGACCCAAAGTTTCGCTCTCTGTGTACGTACATGTAGTAGTAGGTAAGCGTCAAACCTTGACGTTCCACAAAAAATGATGATGTGACTTTCAAAATGAATTCGTTCGTTCAACCAAGAACTTTTTCTGTCTTCCCTATCCATAAAATAAAAACGTTGAGCTATAAAGTTTGAAGGTAGAGAACTTGCCCCGCTGCGATGCTCCACGGCTAGACTAGATATTAGTGCTCACTATGGTCGCCCTAATACAAGGATACATTGCCAGCCCA